AGGTCAGGGGTCGGCAAACTTTTGAGATGGAAGAGGCAATCCAGTCCCGCGAAGTTTTGTGAGACCTATAAAACAAATGAAATCACCATTATGTGAATAATATCCTTTAAAAATCTAATAAGTGAAACTATGGTAGTTTTATTTTCATTTTCAATTTTACTTCAGAGCCACATGTACATACCCAAAGAGCTGCATGTGGCTCGCGAGCCGCAGCTCACCGGCCTCTGCACTAGGTGATTGGACAAGGACTGAAATAAGAGCTTCCATAGGTTTTTTTCCTCTGGAGCTATTGAGGTCAGTTTCTCTAGAGAGGAATCCTCCAGTCTCCTGGCCCTGGAGGGTTTACCGCTGTCCATTGGTTCTGAACGCTGACTGGGAGAAAGGAATCCATTCAATATGTAACTCCCTGATCCTCCTATCTTCAGTACAATGCCTCAGCCTTACTTCCTGCTGTGCCTGATGTCCCTAAGTCCAGGTCTCCCTGTTTCCGTTTCTCTAAAAACACACCTCCTGTTTCTTTGGAAGTAGGAGGAGGGGATTGTGGGCTGAATGGGCAGGGAGAGGAGAGTGAGGGTCTCAATGTTTCTTATATAAATTTTCATCTAATTTCCATATTTTTCGCTGTGCTCCTCCCTCTTGCCTTCCAAGATAGCTAGTGTTTTCAGTTCCTGAGCCTTTCTGGGCCTGTGCCCCAAGAACCAGCTTGCTTCCCAGTGGCATAATCCTCTGCAGACATGCTGGTTTTGACTTTCTGCCATTTGCTCAACCAGTTACCACTTTTCATCTGCTTTCCATCTTCTACCATTATTGACACCGCTTGTCTCTTGTCTCCTCTTTTGCTTTATTCTTCTGGAGTTAAAATTCCATTGATGTAATTTTAGTGGGGTTTCAGGAAGGAGTAGTGGTAAACATGTTTTTACTCTGCTGTGTTTAATTGGAATGAGCACAGAGACCATGAATTTATAGCGATACCGATTTGAATGGTTAGGTGTTTTTCACTAGCAGAATGCAGCACTTCTGGTGGATTTGGTAAGAGAAGGATTTGTCAGTTGGATTAAGGTTTTGCCAGGTAGATTTAGTGGAAGGACAGTAGGGCCAGGGAGTGGAGGATTTTGAAACAACGGACCGTACAATCTACAATAGGTTGTATAAAGAAAGATATGAGGGAGTTGATAGTGAGAGGAGTTTATAGACTAGAGATCCCATGAAGTCAGAAAAAATTTGTGAATTTTTGAACAAATGCTACTTGGTCCTACCAGCATCTTCTCAGCCAGGGGCTAAAGTGCTGTTCCTGACTCTCTTCATGTTGCTTTGCTTTATCATTTCTATCTTGTGGGTTAATGTCCTTCTTGCTTTTAAACAGAAAAACTCTCTGTGGCAGGGGCTTTTCCCTCTCTCATGTACCCAGGACAGGATTCTGTGTGGGGAATGTGGGTAGTGATGCCTCACCTCCCTGCTTACCCTGGGAGGAAACTGGCTGTGTGCAGAGCCCTCACCTCTAGATTTCATTTCTGAGAGGTGACTGACGTGGAGTGGATCAAGAAGGTGCCACATGGACGCAGCCATAGTCTTCCCTGCAGACCCTCTCTTCAGAACTTTGAGAAAGGCTTCCCTCCAGCCAGGGATCTCTCTTTCTTCACTAGTCATTCCCTTCTTGCAGCCTGTTTCCCACCCCCTGCTGTAACAGTAAAGTCTCCCCTGGCCTGCTTGCCGTATCCAAGGGCCTGAGCTCCTATGAACACCAGCAGATGCCTTGGAGAATCTCTCTTTAACCCTCTGTCGGGCGCAACTGATCTCACAGATTCATTGCACACAAATTTTCAAATATCTAACAGTTAAGTATCGTGACTCATTGCTTTTGTCTCTTCCTCCTCTACCGTAACCTATCGTCAGTTGTGTTTGTGACTTAGTACAGTAAAGACGTATTTCACAGCGGCATCTTTGTGTGCAATGAATCTGTGAGATCAGTTGCGCCTGATGGAGGGTTAAACCCCATATTTTACAGAAACTGTAGCCCTGAGGTGTCCTGGCCCAGTGGCATACAGCAAACTCAGTGCCTGAGAGAGCTGCACGTGAGGCGGTTGTGTGGGATGGTTAGGAGCAGGGTCTTCAGAGCCCGACATGCCTGGGTTCACACCCAGCTTGGTCACATACTGGCTTCGTGATCTGGACAAGTTACATAGTCTCTGAAATCTCAGTTTCCTCATCTTCAAATGTGGGTAATAAACTTACCCTAAACGATTGTGAAGATTGGAATAATGCCTATGAAGTACAGAGTATGGTAAGTACTTCAATGGTACCTATTTTTATTAGCCTTGCTCCTAAACACCCCACTGCTGCCACCCATCAGGGGAGCTAGAGTGAGCACCAATGAAGGATTGACTCTTTTTTTGTTTTTTTAGATTTTTTATTGGGGAATTGGGGGAGGGGAACAGACAAGTTGCTGTCCTTTTGTTCTTCAGTCTAGTTGTGGAGGACATTGCTTCACTGGCCCAAGTTGGCACCATCATTGCGCTCTTCCCGGGCGAGGCAGATCAGTCTGCCGGCTTCTGGACGGTGGCTCACAGCGGCTGCTCACCGCTCACGCTGGCTGCCAGCTACACACAGTAGCTTATGGCAGCCCACTGCAGCAGGAGACTGCAGTCTACACCGTCACTGGCGACCCACGGTAGCCCAGCTCCAGGTTGAGCTGCCATTCACCATCTTAGCTGCAGAGGGCAGTGTCACTGGCCCTCATATGTGGGATCCGAACCAGGGCCCTCTGAGGTCCCAAGCCAGTTCTTAACCAACACGCCACTCGGCTGGCCCAGGATTGACTCTTTCATTCTCTAGGCCTCGGCTAGCTCACTTATTTCCTCCAAACCCAATCTACTGAGGAAAAGTTTAAGGATAGGGCCACCAGGGTCCCTGAACCTGTGTTTTCAACCAGTGTGGAGTCCAGTGGCTGTTGACAGTGGATTTACATCAAAGAAGCCCACTTTGAGGAAGGTTCCTCCCTTTCCACATTTTCTTGATCCTCTTGCCTCCTCATCTTGAGGGTTCCCCAGGCCTTGGTGTTTGCCCCTCTATGACCATCCCTTTGAACCATTTCTCCCAGGGGGAATGGAGCCTCTCACAAGGCCTCTGCTGCACCCTGACTCTTGAACCTGCTTTGCTTTCTGTTCTGGTATCTCACCAGCGCTCTGGGCCTGACCTCCTCCCACATGAGTGTCTGTAGTCCTAGGACACCTCCACTGGGATGAGTATTTCCAAGAAATACCCATTTTACTTTCTGCCCAGCTTCCCCTTTCTGCATCCTAATTTCTTTCGGGGGCACCTTGATTTTTCAGTCACCCAGGCTTGACACCCCAAGGTTGTCTTTGACTCTCCCTTCTCCCACAACATAGATTCCGTAAGTGTTGAAGTCGGTGTAGCCTGGCGAGTGGCCAAGCGTGCAGATTCCTCTCTGTCCTCTCCTGCCCACACGATCCTTATTCAAGTGTGGACCACCTCTTGCCTGGTTTACAGCAACAGCCGGTTAATTCTTCTGCATCCTGCTGCTACATACTGGTCTCCTGAGAGCACCAGTTTTATCACAGTATTCCTTGCCACAGAACTTTTCAGTGACTTCCCATTTTCTACAGGATAAAAGTTAGATTCCATGGGCTGGCTGGCACTCCAGGTTCCCCATAATCTCATGCAGCTGTGCTCTTGTATCACCCTTGTAGACCCGCCCTCCAGCCAGCTGGGTGCCTTCACTGACCTTAGAACAAGCCACACTCATTCCCAATGTAAGCTCATGGCATTCCTCACCTACCCCTGCATGCCTCTCTTCCTCCCTTTCACCAATCTCATTTCTCCTGCCCATTTTCAAGATTCAGCTCCAGTCCTGTTGCAGATCTTCCTCTGTCAGTCCTCAGCTTTCATCGATCTCTTTTCCTGAATAGCGCTTGGGGTTACATCCTAGCCATACCCTGGGCTGTACCTGCTGCACGTCCACCTGTGTGCTCCCAGTGGGACAGGCAGGCTTTCTTAGTCCCCAGCACCCTGTCATGAACACAGCTGGTGCTCACTTCAAACAGCCACTCCCTGTTTATTGAGTGCTCTCAGCCTGCAAGACACAGGGTTACACCTGTTTAACATAATGCTTCCTCAATGTAACCTTCTTTCCTCTCTGCTCTGGGAGAGGGCTTTAGAAATCAAGACAGTTCTGAAAAGTCTCTGGGGGTTGGGATATAGAGATTGGCCTCTGAGGCCTGTCTAAACCATTTCCCCTCCACCAGTCTCTCTCAGGCTTTCATCAGTCTCCAGGGTTACCTGCAGCAGTTTCTTGCACTGCCCTCCCCCTCCAAGCACCCCTGGCCTGGCTTCCCCCTCACCCCCAGCCCCCACCCTTGCCTCCCTGCCCCATATCCCCCATGGACCCCGCTCTGGGCCCTTTAATTCATGGTGGGAAGTCCCTCTTCCTGCTGGCTCTCTGCCTCTCTTAATCCTAAAGTTAACCTGGCATGTGTTTTTGCTTTTCATCTCATCATCCCCCTTCTTCATGTTAGCTAATGATTATTCAGGGGCCTTATCTCAACTTGTCCTTAGCCCAAATCTATGCATGGTTTTCTTTAGGGCAAGGGTCATGAGAGTGGCGTCATGGTCATGTGACTGCTGCCCATTCCTCACTCCCTCTGTTGCCCTGGTCCTAACAGCCTGAAAAGCTAATTGTATACCGTACCTCCAGCTCGCTTTAATGGAGAACTGAGCAGAAAGGTAACCCTCTCGTCATTACCTTAGGTGGGCAGTGGCCACTGGATTCTCTACCTGCTCAGTGTTAACTGCCTTTTTGTTTCCCACTTGTTTCTACTGGCTTTCTTCCTGGGCGCTCTCACTTGCCCTTTTCTGTACAGTGAAAGCTGTGAATGAACTGCAGGACGGGGGTCTTAGGTCCATTAAGGGGCTGGGGGTTTTGCTGGTTAGCTCTAGGTGGGGTACACAGGCTGAGTAGGGCATAACTCCTGCTCTACTCACAGATTTTATCCTGATGGCTGAGTCCAAACCACTCCTGTCCCTTGATGGTGATCCCATGGCTGCAGAAGCCTTGCTCCGGGAGGTGTTTGGGATTGTTGTGGATGAGATCATTCGGAAAGGGACCAGTGCCTCTGAGAAGGTAGGTGCTTTCTCCCTCTTCTTCCTGCCCGTGAAACCTGGCTCAGGACTTCCCCCCTCCAACAGTGCTTCTACCCAGAATTCATCACTGTCTCATTGTGTTTATTTATCCCTGTTCATGTGTTGCTTTGAAAATATCCCTAACTTGTTGCTTTAAATGCAAGTTGGTGGTGTCTTCTGTGTATTGAGATGTGGTTTGGGTAGCCAGTTAATGGAGTATCTAAGGGCCACCAGAATCTCCCGCTTCTTCCTCTAGGTCTGCGAGTGGAGGGAGCCGGAGGAGCTGAAGCAGCTGCTGGATTTGGAGCTGCGGAGCCCCGGGGAGTCACAGGAACAGATCCTGGAGCGGTGCCGGGCTGTGATCCGCTACAGCGTAAAGACCTGTGGGTTCTGGGTTCTGGTGGGAAGAGTGTCTGGAGCCTGTGCCCAGCTCCACTCTGAGCTCCCTGCCCCCTTCTCCAGGTCACCCACACTTCTTCAACCAGCTCTTCTCAGGTTTGGATCCCCATGCTCTGGCTGGGCGCATTATCACCGAGAGCCTCAACACCAGCCAGTGAGCCATGCCAGAGCACCCCCCTGCACCCCCTGCCCCAGAAAGGATATGGGCTTGTGGGAGATGTGCCTTAGGGGGAGGGGAGAAAATGGTTTTTGTACCCCTCTCTGTTTTCTGGGGATCTCTACTGGCAGAGCCTATCCCCTCGTACCCTTTGGACTACCTTTTTCCAAGCTTTCTCCTGCCTCCTGACCCCTCCTGCCTCATTCTTGCTTCCCTGGTTCTTGGTCACCAACTCCTCTCTTTGGACCCTTTCCTCATTCTTACCATCTCCTCTCTCCAGCTGGTCTGAGAGCCTCACCTGGAGTCCCTCCCTGTCTCTTCCCCTTTCTCATTGTTCCCTCTCCTGGCAGGTACACTTATGAAATAGCCCCTGTGTTTGTACTCATGGAAGAAGAAGTGCTGAAGAAACTCCGGGCGCTGGTGGGCTGGAGCTCTGGGGATGGGGTCTTCTGTCCTGGTATGTGAGAAGAAAGGGGGCCTTTTTAAGGGTTTCTCCTTCCCCACCATTTTCTTGCTCTAAGCTAGCAGCGGGGGGTATTCCTCTTTATTGCCTCTCCACCTGAGCTGGGGCCAAACCAGAGAGGCTGCCCAATACCCTGTATCCTCATGTTTGCCAAACAGTCCATGGGATCGGTGCTCTGATGCCTGCTGCCTCCTGATGGGGGCCGTCCTGGTGACAGCCCAGGATATGGAGGCAGGTAGTCAAGGCAGCCTGTGGACCCTGAGGCTGTTCTTGATTATTATCACGCCATTTGTAGAACCCTGGAAATTCATAGGCTGGGAGCCAATTGCATGTGCTTCTTTGATCATTTCTGGGCAGCAAGGTCAGGGGAGGTAAGCCCCAGTTTTGACCCACTGTCCCTCCCTTTTGCCTCCATCCCCTCCCTGTGACAGGTGGCTCCATCTCCAACATGTATGCTGTGAACCTGGCCCGTTATCAGCGCTACCCAGATTGCAAGAGGAGGGGCCTCCGGGCATTGCCACCCCTAGCCCTCTTCACATCAATGGAGGTAGGGAAGAGGCACAGACCTACCCTGGGCTCCTGATTCTAATCTCTAGCCAGCTGAGTCTGAGACCTGCCAGGTCCTCTGCCTGCCAATACCCAGCTCCTCCGAGGCCAGCCTGCCCCCAAGCGGATGTGCTTCCTTCCAATCAAGGGGGCTCCTGTTCACCTTGCCTTCTGTCTGGGGGTGGGGAAGGGGCAGCTAGTGCAGTGGACGTAGCCCACACACTTTCTACTCAGAGTATGGTCCATGGACCAGCAGCATCAGTATCACCTGGACATTTCTTAGACATTCAGAATCTCAGGCCCTACCCCAGACCTACTGAATCGGACACCTTGGTGATTCACAGGCACGCTTGAGAAGCCCTGGCCTCCAGGGTCTCAGCTCCTGCAGCTCATACTTGACTTTTACCAGGCTCTCTCCTCCCCATCCTCCCTGTCCTCTCTCCACTAGCTCAACGTGCCTTTTACCTTCCTCCACAGTGTCACTACTCCATCATGAAGGGAGCTGCTTTTCTGGGACTTGGCACCGACAGTGTCCGAGTGGTCAAGGCAGATGAGAGGTGAAGGTCCTGTCCATGTGGCCTTGACCCGGCTTGGTGCTGCGTACCTTCCTGCTGTCAGAAGCTCTGGCCACAGGCCCACGCCCCTGGCGGACTTCTCTCTCCTCACTGTTCCTGCAGAATTGCTGCTTCTGTCTCTCAGAGCCTGCTAGAGTCTCCTGCCCTGTCCCCTGAGATCTGTTTACCCTTCTTAATGTGGAGAAACCCACATTGTGGCCTCTGCATTGCTAACCCCACCTTACCCTGCTCTCGACACTTCTGCCTCCTTGCCTAGAAAACCTATTGCTTCTGTACCCACTCAATTTCCTTTTCTAGAGGGAAGATGATCCCTGAGGACCTGGAGAGGCAGATCAATCTGGCTGAGGCTGAGGTGAGTGAGTAAGGGGCACTGGGCATGGAGCAGGACCCCTCTGTCCCTTTCTTGGAGGGTTCTTTGGGCTCTCCCTACTCAAGGCACCCCTCATCCCTTTCCTTGATCTCTGTACCCATCTCCCCTATGGACTGAAGTGAGTCCTGGGGAGTCTGAGGGGCAAGGACACTCTCTGGTTCTCTCAGGGACTCTGCCGAGACCTGCGGGCAGGATTGGACCCCGAGGGGCAGGAGCAGGACTGAATCACTGAGTAGAGTCTCAAGGCGGCACCACAGGGAGGGTGTTGGGGGCCTGGGGTGTAGTGTGGAAGGTTTCTATGAGCTGGGAGGGTCAGTGCAGAGAGAAGCTTGGGAATATGTGTGGGCCAGTGGTGAGGAGTGCAGGCTGTGAGCAGTGGGAAATGTGGAGGCACCTGCACGGTCCTCCATGAGGGGAGCTATGCGAACTGCTGCAGCCATCTTGGAGGGCATTTTGGCAGCATCAGTATAAATTTTAAATGTATCTATACGTTGATTCAGAGTCCCACTGCTAGGATTTATTCTATAAATCATCATCACAGTACTTAGAATTTTGTTCACTGGAGCAAAGTGTAAAATTAAAAAAAAATTTTTTTAATGTCCATCAGTATTATGATATATCTGTGTGTCTCAGTTACTTTGTATATAAAATGAGCGTAATATAGAACTTATCACAGAATTACTGTAAGCATTAAATGAATTAATATAGGTAAAGCACCTAAGAGCCATGAAGCACTATATAAATATTAGCTGCCATTATTATTGTTGTTGTTATTATTGGAGTGCCATGTAGCCATTTAAAAGCATTAAGTGGGAATATATACACATATGAAAATACTTCCACTACATATTTAAGTATATACACACATATTTAAGTGTGTGTCTATATATAGCAAGTTGCAATGTATAAAGGACACTTTGAGCCTGTTGTTATTTAGAAAAATGTATATTTATTGACATGGATGTTACCTCTGAGTAGCAGTATGAGCAGCAATTAGAACAGTGGAGTATCACTTTTATTGTAAATGTTTTTTGGGTAATATCTTTATTGACATATAATTCCATTGACATGCCCTACAATTCACCCATTTATAGTGTACAATTCAATGGTTTTTAATACATTTACAGAGTTGTGCAACTGTCATGACAATAAATATTANATTCTCACCACACAGGGGCTTGGAGACCAGCTTTGGAGAATCCCTGAGCAGAGGTCAGGACCATGGGGAGACTGGCATAGTGTGACTCAGGAGGCCTTGGCCCTACCGGGATGAAGTCATTAGAACTGGTTTTCCTGTCTACCAGACAGCACAGGAACCACTAAAGAGGTATATGACAACTTAAAATATTAGGAGCACTTAAAAAGATTCAAGTAGTGTACAAAACAAACAAACAAAAAAACAAACAATAAAACCACACACACAAAACAACTTTCTGGAACTAAAACCCATTTTTTTCAACCAAAAAATCAGTATACATATTGGACGAGAGAAGTCTGGTTACTGCTGAGACTCAAATTAGTGGCTTGGAAGAACAAGTGGAAAAAATATTTCAAAGCACAGAGCAAATAATACGAAGAGATGGAAATGAGGAAAATATGAGACTTGGAGAATAGGTCCAATAGTCTTAACATTCAAATATATCAGTTCCAAAAGAAAGAAAAAACATAAATGGAGGAGAGGCAATATGCTTTTTTGGGGAATTTAATTGTTTTTATTATGAGTTGCATAGAGAGCATATCTAAATGTATATATCAGTTTAAGAGAATTATAGTATAGACTGCATTTTGGAGGGTGACAAAATACTGTACTGTTAAATGTTCATGGAGATAGATGTCTAATTATATCTAGAACCCTAAGTACTCTACTAACTAAGCAAAACCTAGAAATTGGAAACAGACTGAGAGAGGTAAGTGAAAATATTCTAAAGGTCTCATTGGGGTGGAAGTGGCAAGAAATAAAACATCTAAATGGAAGAAATAATTGCTATATTTTCTAAAAATGGTAAAGAACTATGTATTTGATTATTAGTGCTGGGAAGGAAGATTAAATGGTTTAAACTATCAAGGGAATGGAAAAATATAGTAGAACTTCAAAATAACAAGGGCGAAGG